TCAGCTGAATATCATTCGCTGAAAAGACTTTTTCTGGCTGTTTTTGTATGAATTTATTTTCATTGATTTTTGACAAGTTTGACTGTAAAATATAGGAAAAAGGGAATATTCGCTGGATTTTATTTTAACTGAAACATTCCTTCAGCGAAAATAGCAAAAAATTGTTGCAAGCAAAAATAAAGTATTTTACAGTAATTAATTTATTCTGAGCATGCGCAGACGTTCTGTCAATGTTGCCGGGAGAGGTAATTTTTGATAAAAATCGTGAAAAAGACCCACTTGGGATTTTCAGATCTGGAAAAAAATTACGTGCATACTCGGAATACACTTGTTCATCAACCTGCCAAGTTTCACTGATACCTGCTGTAGAATTTCTGAGAAAATGTTGGAGACGGAAACCGGACAAAACCTGAATTATAACTCCCCTTTTCAGGCTGCGCCTGAACGGGGACTAAAAACAGAGCATAAAAAATTATAAGCAAATTAAAAAGAAACAGTGATCACTTGTATGCAGCATGTTAAATCTCTGGTGATCCCAACCAGAGACTGTAACATATCCCAGTGAAGATAACAAAATGTGAACATGCTTTAAAACAGTGCTTATGAATTGTATAATTTCCTCATTCAACACAGATAGAATTAGAAAGTGTTGCTTTCAGCTTGAATGACTTTGAAACCATATTGTTGGATGGGATGGCCGCTACCAAATATGGATATCAAGAGTGACCCCTAATGCGAAAATTCACGCGTTTGATCGGATAACTGTTTAATCCTGTGTTAGTCCAAGCTTGACAGATTAATGCTCTGTTGCATAATTTTTAATTTCTAATTACATCTAACTAATCTAACAATAAACTTTTATCATATATTTTTTGGATGAAAACAACAGTAACCAATTTTTTGAATGTTCATCTTGGGCTAACTTGGATGTCACAGCTTTTTTTTGGCAGATTTGTGTACTTTGTAAAAAACATCATCAAAATGACAGATATTTTATGCATGAAATTCTCACTCAACCAGCTGATATTGATCATATCATGGCAAGTATGTTACGACTGTCTGTATTCATTTCATCCCTACAAAAACAATCTCTATTTATTTGAATCAACTAAAAATTATTTTATTAATTCATGCACAAGAAAAACAATTTTTTATTTGTATCCTATTCACTCATGCTTATTTTTACTACCACAAATAGTTTTTACAGTATGCACAAAATGGTGAAATTAATAATAAAAAGAAATTAATACTTTTACAGTTAGTATACACTGGTTTGTCTTCAAAAACTTACAATAAAATTTGCTATGACTATGAGGAACAAAATAGCAAGCAAAATATAGGCCAGGTATCGTTTCCGTCCACGTAAACCGGTTTTATGCAGATGTTCTTCATAAACATGAACATAACCAGCTCGGAAATTGCTATTGTGTTCTTTGTTGATTTTTCTTCTGTCAAGCGATTTCTCTCTCATTGAGAGACGCATATTTGAACGCTGTAAGACAAAAAAAACAAATTAATTAATAATTATTAATTATATATTACTGTTTCAATGGCTTCCTGGACGAACAGATTTGCATTTAGTATGAAATGTTTGACTTGTTGACAGCAGTACTTTAGCGAGGTTGAAATGTTTTATTTAATAAACAGTTGAAAATTCCATTTTTTGGTCTGGGGAAAACATACACAACATGATGATTTAGTTAAGCCCAAGAACAACAGTTACACTGGCACCAAAAAAAATGGTTATAAAAACCACCAACTGCAAGGGATATTACCGTATTTCAAAGAAAACTGATTGAGAGATAACAGTTTTCATGATCAGTTTATTTTGGTGCTTGTTGTAGCAAGACAAAACCAAATAATGAAACATTAAAATATTTCTAAGATTTATAATCACACATACTAGCTAAATTAATTATTATGTCAGTACATAAAAAAACAATCACCAATATTTTAACAAATCTTCACTTGAACGGCAAAAATCAATATAGATAAGGCAAGACATGAAATGTCACAGTCTCTGTTATTTGATTATAAAGTAGTACAAGGAACATCTGCAAACAGGTGAATAAATATGTACTTTTTGAGGGTACAACTCATCATAAAGTGATTTCCCATAATCGAGTTTTGTACTGACAACTAAAAACTTCCACTGACCCATGTTCAGAATCTCAGAGTACACAAGTGCAACAAAACTATTTGTCATACATGTATACTTGCTCAAGAAACTGCATTCATAAATCTGAGTGAACCTTGATGTACACGACTTCTTTGTTAATCAGGTCTTAGTATATTACCAGGACCTGGGTTTGTTTCAACATCACCACTGGGCATCAGAATCATTCTCATGTTGTCAAATACAATTTGTTATTAATACAGTAAGGTTTATTATTTAAAATGTATTCATTGTACATAGAACAACATCTGTTAATTTAAACAATTGTAAAAGCTATGTTTTCAGAGCAAGTACATGTAATAATTAAGGAAGCCAGTAAAGGTTGGTCTGCTCATAACCTTCAATGGAGAAGCAACAATAATTGTTTGAAGTCTTTTTAGTGCAGTGATATTATTGCATTTCAATTATTATTAATGGGTATAAATAACTGTAAACCATTTAATTTTCACTTCTAGATATATTCAGGATTCTATGTTATTTCAATAAAGTCCCTGACACTCCATGTTGTAGGAACCCAGAAAAAATTGCCTTGCGAAATTGAAGCAGGTCACAGCACCACTGTAAAAAAAAAAAAAAA